TGTGTCTTCACTTGTACTCTTTGAAGTCTGACTGAATAGCCCTTCCTGAATGAGGAATCCACAGGTGTTTAGCCTGTTCGTTATTGCATTGGTAAAAAAGCCTTTACGACTCCGGATCCAGACGCCACGCTTCTATACCGGCTCGATACACCTACATAATTCTCAGCAAATTAACTCCTTTCAAATGACTCTCCCTGACATACTCGAATAAAACATGTAATTTGAAACCACACTCGCATTTGCTCGCATATTTCTGCAGCAATCATGCATAAGTTATCATTAGCACCTTCGGAAACACCTGCAATTAATTAAAATACAAATCTAATTAACCGGTCATTCTAGTGACCTTGCTGGACTACCAGTAGAAAACGCTTTCGTTGCAGGAAGGCTGCGAGTCAACATTGCATAATAAGCATGAGTCGTGATTTAAACGGTGAAAGTGTTTAAAATGCAATTTTTTGGAAAAAAAAACTATGGGAAAAAAAAAGAAAAAAATATTAACCAAAAATCGAAAACGAACAGAAACACGGCAACTGTATTCATACGTCTGAAATAATATTTGATCTCCTCACAGTGCTAACTTCTGGGCCTGTATTGATAAAGCGCCTTACTGTAGAACTGCTGATCTAGGATCAGATGGCTCTCTTATTTATGATGCCCTTAATCAAAAGATCTCAGCACTTCTACTGAGATGCTTTATGAATACAGGTCCTGGTCTGCTTTGTTCAGACGAAACAGTATAATTTATAGAACTAACTGTCTCACTGGTAGTTAAAGAAGGTGACGTCACTTTTCTGGACACAGATTAAGCCTAGCCTTCAGTCTAGAACTAGTTTCAATCTCTGTCCATCCCTGTAAGTACAATTATAACTAGGGATATTTCTGATTAACCGATTAATCATTAACCAACAAAAACATTAATGTTTAACTAGTACTTTAGGTTAAAAAGTGAGTTCAATTTCCAATAAACAACTGATGTTTGAATAGGTAGGGTTTTCAATTAACTTGTGGATCATTTTTGAATTGTACCCATGAGGGTGCAATAGCGCATCTTGTTCTGATAGCCTTACTTTGACTGATTTACTTTAAAACAGTAGTGCCAGAGGTGTTGATAAGGCATGTAGCAGAGATTAAACCATCCTAAATGTAGTTTACAGCACTATCACAACTAGCAATATTTAGCTACATGACACAGTGCTGAGGTAGACTTCAACAACATCATGTTCTGTCCACTGAATGCTGCCTTAAGATTTAGCCTGCAAATGTGTTTGTTAGCTAACAGTTAGCCTGCGTAGTCAGTCTTGTGACAAAAAGCTTAAAAGCGGCGAACTACTGCCGTTAAAGTCTATACTCACCAAGTACACTTTCTTCGGGTGAAAAAAACGGATGCCATTTTTGAAGTGGGACCTTCAGACCAAGTCTGAGCATTTATTGTCTAAACACTCCAGAAACATGAGAAGAAGATAACATGGGGAGCTCCACCACCTCATACAGGAGCTGAAGCTGCTGTATAACGAACAATTCCAAAGGCATTTTTGTACTTCAGTGGGGGAACTCAGAGCTCTGCTTCTGCTTGTTGCTTCTCTCATTAAACAGGAGTGTTCATTAAAGTTCATTCTTTGTGGGGCATGGACAAACTATGATCCACCTATATAAACTAAAAAAAAACACCTTTATACAGTTGCTGTAATGTACACAACGTAATTCTCAGCCCTTCTTTAACCTCTGCATTTTTCTAGTCAGCAGTTGCTTGGCAAATTAAGCTTTTGAGCTCTGCTACAAGCTACACCAGCATCTTGATGCACATTTATTTCAGCTGCACCCACGACAACAGAGCTTCTTATTGGTCAGCCTGATTTTTAACACATCCACACAATGCAGAAAATCAAGCAGGCTCCGATTACAAAAACTGATGCAGTTTTGCAGTCCGTCAGTTTCAGACTGTGTGTGAAAAATGACATTAACATGTCTGTTAGTTTTCAAAAGCTGACGTGCGTTGATTGTTGCTTAAAATATTTCAATAGAGAGAGAATAGAGAATTCAATAAAGCCTAGAGCTTTGTTCAAATAAACACAGTGCTGCGTTTCATGTTTTCAAGGGTCATGTCTGCAATTTTAGGTTTGTCGGTTAACGATTAATCACAGACTAATACTGGTCAGTCAAAAGAATTTGGCAAAATTCGCATCCCAAGTTCTAAGCATAACATGTACCACGTAACATGTAGTGAAATGATACAGGAGAGCCCTTAGTATCAGTGTGAGTAGCATTAATTTCAGCTGTTCACTGAGAAGAGAACTTTTCTAGAAACTCAAGTTTTGGTTTGATCGGTGAGAATACTTCTAGATCCGCAATAAAGTGCGTATTATTACTACATATGAAATATTGGCAGTCACCAAAACAGTATGGTATGATGTGGCACGCTGTGTACCGCACAAATTCGAGATATTAAATTTAGAAAGATTTATAAAGATAAAGCCCCTCATTAAAAGCTAGACATAGTTTATGGTAGGCAACTACACAATTCAACAACCCCCAGGCTAGCTCTGTAAATTAGGTAGCGTCTATTGGATGAAGTAGATCTTTCAAATCACAACTAAAAGAAAGCTACTTTCAATGTAATAAATAAATAAGAAAAAAAGGAAAAGTAAATGTACCAAAACATAGGCGCAATAATTCCACTAAACAAACAAACAAACAAATAAATAAAAACAAAATAAATAGCATAAAACTGGGTGGTGCATATAGATTACACATGAAATGATTCCGTAACACTTTCCAAGTTTCTCCTATCACTGTAACTTGATTGACTATTACAACAGGTAGTATTTTTGCTATACGCTTTTAGCTATGCTGGTTAAAAATCGATAAAATGGATAAAAGTATTTTCACAAACAAATCGGCTTGCAAATAGCAAAACTGTAAGAAAAGCAGTGGAATGACTACCTTGCTCTTTGCCTGAGGTCAGTAATCAACTGCCTCACATTTGGCCTTCTTTCGAACACATGATTAAAGTGCAAACCTTTGACATGCAAACGAATAGTGTGATATGGTCTTAAACTAAATATCTACAGGAGGTTCTGCACAAACAAATCAGGTTTTCACTCTGACTTAAAGTGCCTAAAACCCTGTGATTGAGTGATTTGTAAGACAAATTAAGCCTAGCCGTACACTGACACCTTCAATAGAGACTCTCCATTGCATTTGCTAGACTAAGCATGAGCCTGGAAATAAAGCACATCCAGCATAGTGCTCTTCATGTCAACCAGCTTCCTGCTCAAATTATGATTACAGTGTGTTTTTCTTTCATTTCTGTTGTGATATATTTACACATTAATGACAGTAGCAGCATCCTCAATGCAATTGGATTTCATTTGAAAACATAGCACTAGTTTGTCTTTCACTCTCACAATTATGCACAAGACAACAAATATATATTTATATTCATATATATATATATGTAGAGAGAGATTTTTTTTCACTAGTCTATTCAGTAAACATATGTTCTTGGTTGTAATTATACAAAAAATAAGATTATATTTTGGATAAATGTACTTTTGCTTATATCTACTTCTACTTTAAGTAAACGTATATCAATGTTCTGCAGTATTTAAGCAGTTTGTGTTTCTCTTACAGATGATGCTTCCATATAGAATATTTTAGCAACGTAAGACAATCCTTATAAGAATAGAGAAAAGTGTGTACTGTAGACATTGTGGCAAAGTGTGGTGAGAACATAAAATGAGTGAAGGGCAGGGCACATGATTCTGTTAGTACATTATCAGAATAAAACTGGCTTTTTAACTTCGTAAATCAAACATGATACAGTTTCTGTGCAGTGTCCCACATGGGCTAAGCAAAGACCCTGTCTCCTTCACCTATTTAAGTCTGAAGTATAGTAAAGTATAGATTTAAAGAGAAAGGTCCTATCAAAATCATTATATTTTTCTGTCTATATGGCACAAATCACATTTCAGTATTTGGCAAGAGGTGCTGATATGATGTTAGTCATTCAAAAATGCTGATGATTCAGGAATTCCTTCTGTAGATAAACATTTGAAATACAAATACTGTTAATCTTCTTATGTTCCTTCAGGATATATACATTTTGAATTTGCTGTATATCTTTTTATATCGTTTTCATTTATACAGTGGTCTCAGGACTTTTAGCAATATTTGATATTCATACTACAGTATGTACATATCTCAGTGTGCTGATGCATATAATTTGCTATCATCTATAATCTGTGAAATTGTAACATTATGATATCAACTGGACTGCCACTCTTGTGGAACCAGCTCCCAAGAAGCGGTACACAATAACAATGACAAATATCACGAGCAACAGACATATGCACACATTCTGCCACCATCGTCTTCACACAAATCCTACATAGTTCCTTATTAAATTGACAGACCGAAACATGAAAATGGTTATTGGCAATGTATGGACAGCCATAGGGATCTGTTCTAAAAGGTTTTCTGAGTAGTTATGTCAAGCACACACACGTACCCTGGGAATTTAGATTCAAAGTGCTTCTCAAACCATTAAACAAAACATTGGAAGACATTTTTTAACCCTCAACTGGTCATTTGAATTACTGTAGTTAAATAAACCTGTGATTTGAAATTACTGTAGTTAAATCAAGTCTGTACATTAAATTGTAACCGGATGTTGTTTGCTATACACAAAGCATAAAAAATGTTTAGATTTTCTCTCAGTACAGTATCAGATCATGGTATTTGGTTGGGTCTAACTAATTACAGGAGTAGTTGGGCTTGCGTTTGTCTTTGGAATATCAGTCCTCAGAAGGTAGAGAAGGTAGTAACAAACATCTACTGAGTACTAACTACCCAACCGCGCAATCATAAACCACTGAACATGGCTGAAGTTGTTGGTTAATCTAGATGAGGATAAACAGGTAACAAATAAGGAGTGTCAAGTTAGAATGACTACTAAGCTGGTGTAATAAGGAGGTCTATAATTATGTAGTGCAAAGTCATCTGATATGTGCTGGGGCTATATTGCTCATGGTGGCGTCTGTGGACACTGGGGTGTTCAGTCTATGCAGTAGGAAAATGGGATGAGAAAGATTTGGTGAGCTTTGCCCTTCAAGAGTAGATGGTGATAACCTCACGTCCTCCACCGCGCACAAGGAGGACCCGATTGAGACCCTCAGTCAGCACCTCCAGGAACTCCATGTCTATAAAAAGATCACGAGTCAAGGAGCAGAACCGGCCACTGAAACTGATTCACGTGCAGTGCAATCACATGCTCCCTTGACGCTCTTTCATGAAATCTGGACAAGCTTTAGCCAAAGTTAGCGACGGACGTTACGAGCGAGTTCTGTAAAACAAAGTCTGTTTTGAATCCAGCAACTCTATTTCCGGGAGAGTTGCGGTTGAAGAAAATCTGCTTTAGATACAGCAAATGTGTTTTGAAAGAGAGTCGGATAAATCAAACACAGGCAGAGTCAAAGGTGAACAGAAAAAGTTTAAGAAAAATAAGAGAAAGGATACAGTTCTCCTCTCCTGTGAGGTTTTTGGGAGGTCCAGGCATGTTTAGTAGGACCAACTTTGCTTCTTGTGACTTTTTCACAATGACTTCATTCAGCTTCTGTGCGTGATGCATGCGCCTCACATTTGACTGGTTCCTGCAGAAGAAATAAAGGGAAGAACTCTTATGATGTGGTGCTTTTCATGGGGTTAAAAAAATTCTACTACAAAATCAGATGCATTTAAACTGGAGCAAGAAAATTCCTGATTGTTGTTTCAGCTTGAGTTTTTTAGCATAACAGTTCTTCTTGTATGCTAAATGTGGAGAGTGCCTCAGTAAACAAAGCATTAAAAAGAGCTATCAGTGCGTATTGGCACAGCCTACGCAATAAATCCTATTGTTTAATACAGATACTGTGCCAGTATGCTCTATTAGATCCTCAAAAAAACCCAAAGAACAACAAAAAAACATGATTGGAATCGTATTTTGAGATTGGATTGGTTACACAACTGTGGTATGCAGTTCAACATGTATTTTTTGAGAATTTGAAAAGTGCATGCACACTAAAAACTGCTGGGTTGTTTTTTCTACCCAAACGCTGGGTTGAGCCTGTTGGATCATTTAGCTGAGTTATGTCCACAGTGCTGTGTAGTTTTTAGATAATTTAGCCATGACTATTACTTAAACCAGTAAAGATAGGTGTTTTATTTCAAGAAAAATCTATTATGAACTGTATTATTGTGGTTGTGATGTGAAACTATTGGATGACATTCACTATAATGTCAGCTTCCACTGTCATACTGGAGTGCCACTAATAGTTGTAGCCAAAAATGTGATATTTTTCTAACTTCATACCAGAATATTAGGTCATTTTTAAGTTGACATTGACATTACATATGTAATCATTCTATTGCAGTTAACCTACCAAGTGTGTCACACAGCTGTTTGATTTTAAAGTTTGTGATTTTCTCTTTACAGGCTGGAACAAATATGCCAGGGCCAGGGATATGACCCAAATTGGGTTGTTCTGAACCCAGCATTTTTTTTTTGAGTGTAGGGATGTACTTTGGTGAGTAACGTTAGCATGACAAGGGAAAAGGGGGAAAGGGTGTGGAGGAGGGGTGTAATATTAACATGAAAGGGTACTCACAGGTTTTCCCATTCCCTGAGGCATGACCAGGAGAGAACAAGAATGAACTCAGGGTTCTTTACACAACAACATAGCACACATACTGCCCACAGGACAACATTAGGAGTTCAAACGTTACGGGCCCTGTTTTCGTGGGTGTGCAAAGACTACAGCATGCAGCGCTACAGCTGTGGTATCTTCGTGCTCTTGGAACATGCATTTTGGTCTTTTTGTGCCTGGTGCACCCTGCATTATGCAGTAATAATATTTTCTCGTGATAATAAAGTGCTAAGAATCCAGAGGAGGCAATCACTTGACCATTTGGTTATTCCATCAGCAACTACAAACAAAATGCATTCTGAAGAATGCACAGCACTTCATTGGATGTAATACAAAACGTAACAGCTTGTACCAGTTAGATTGCCAAGAAGTTGCCTGTTTGATTTTATAGTCTGGGCCCTGCAGCTCAACCAGCTCTGCTTTTGCTATAAACAGTTCCCAGGATTGTTTCGTTTTCTCTTTTGACTTTTTTTTTTTTCACGGTACTGTTAACCTTGTTGGCAGGCCCTAACTAAGACCACTGTAGGCCCTGAGGCCAGTTCTCCGTTCCACACGCGTCTCTCCCAACCCCAGAATTTGAACTAGGATGTTCACCCACGGTTAATGCTATTTCATTCAGAAAAAGAAACAGAAGCACAGCCTATATAACAGGCTCAGATGTTAAAATCAGCTTTACAATTTGCACACAATATAAAGTAAACCAAGGACAGAAGGCAGTTCACATAACCACTGCATCATTGTTTTAAAGCATGGAACATCTCATAAAGTTAAGTAAGGCGACATAAAGTATTTATTTAAAACTCCTCTTTGTCTGTCAGCTGTAATAAAAGAAGCTATTTTCACCCTAAAAGTAGGCATTCCTCACCCACAGCTTTTTTCATTGTGAGAATTCTACTATATTACTGATGAAGCTCTAGGCTTACATGACATCCTAACAAAAATATCCAGTAAGTTTACTGAAAATTTTTAAATTAGCTCACAATCTTCCTGCTCTTTGTCTTTGTGCCTTTTTCTATGTATTGCAATCTGTATCACATGTTACTGAATGCTAGCATCAGGGGCCTATTTTATTAGATCAAGGACAGACACAACAAATGCAACTCCCAACTGTGATTTGTTTCCGTTTTTGAGTACAAAATGATTTTAGCTTTTTAAAGTTCCCAGAAAAACTTTTTGAATTTCGACTAGTACTTAACTTGGTCAGAGAGAGAGATCTCAAAAGAAAAGACAGGAGTTTAAAAAACTGGAGATATTAACAAAGCAATGTAAAAGAAGTAGAAAAAAATGGGACTCCTAACAACAACACAAGACCTGATAGACCATCAAAACTGTCACCATCTGTCAGATAAACAGTACTTAAAGCTTTCAACTTTGAGGGAGAGGAGAAAATTAAGCTCCACTCTTGTTTTAGATCTGAAAAAATCCACAGGTGTTTCTGTCCATCCTTCCACTGTGAGAAGACAACTCAACACGAGTCTGAAAGGATATATAGCTGTCAAGAAGCCCTTACTGAGAAAAGTAAAGACAAAAAAATGGACATGATGAGTCTAAATTTGTGATTGGGAAGCAGAAAACGCAACCAGTTTGGAGTTGCTTTTTTGGACGAAAAATATCTCTGCTGATTTCACTAAAAACTGAAAGCAAGTCTCTTAAAAAGAATGCAAGGTGTAATAAAAAAAAAAGAATGGACACCTTAAACACTCACAAATGTGATGTTTAGTTCCTGAGGCTTTTGTGTAATTGTCTGTTAAAACTACATTTTACGATTTTTTCCCTGACGCTGAAAAATGAGTGGCGTATACTTAATAGCTGTTTTGACTGGAAATGTAACAAACGAAAGGGTGGTCTCTGACTTTTACACAGTACTGTATATTACAGCTCTGCATCTGACACAAGTCTTGCAGATTTATCCTCATGTCAAAGTGCTGCAACTGCCTGATGAACCAAAGGCCCTAGGACTGTTTAAAGACAAAAAACACCAACAAATCATGCAGGGCCTGTGAATACTCTGTAATATTAAATTTGACTACATTAACCTTGTAACCTCAGTTACAAACTAAATAAGCACTCAAAACCCATCTTGATTGCTTGTGCACATTTGCTTTTTGGCCAAACTACCGCTTTGAGCGATTCCCTCTTGTCTGATTTGTGACTAACAGACTGTGTGGCTGGAGCTAATCTCTTTTAATGCCTTCTTTGAGACTTTTAAGCAAAATGCTCTCAGAAGGAAAAACAGCAGCACTGAATTAACTTTCATGCAACTGAAGTGCATTTTTCAGGTGTAGTGACTCCAAAGCTGCACTCACGGTTTCATATTGAACATATCTCTGACAGTCTCTGGGTTAGCCACGGCTGGATTCTTTCCCTTATCTATATCGTCGCTCCAGGTCATCTGCACCTCCTCTCCAGGGGTCACTGCCCCCACGCTTAGTGAAGCCGGGGAGGTGGGGCTTGTGGGAGTGGGCATGGCATTCTTACCCTGGATGAGCTGCACCTGTCGAGGACGGGAGAGACGGAGAGACTGAGAGAGGAAAAAAAGTGGAGCAAGGAAAGGGTGCAGAGAGGAAAAATTTTGAGAGGGAAGAAAAAAGAAATTAAGTGCACATGAAGGTACTGCAAAAGAGAAAGAGACAGAAAACCAAAGAAAGGAGCGCAACCATGATGTAAATAGTGTTGTGTGGCAAAATACAGAAAATGTTAGTAAGGTAACATCTCAAAAGAGAGAGAGAGTAAGAGTGGAAGTGAGAGGACAGAAATGACTCAGAGAGCTGCTTTCTCCACTGCAGACACAGAGTTCCACACTGTCACCTACAGAGCCATAAAAATGGCAAAGAGAGAAGAACACAGCACGATCAGCTCAAATGGCAAACAGGTGTTGAGTGGATGACTAGATGGATAACAGAGATGGAAGAAGAGAGAGAGAAAAAAAGGAGACAGAAAGGCCAGAGCTACCTCTTCCTCTGGTTTCTCCTCCATGCTGCCCCCTGCTGGCTCCTCGGTGATGCTTTTCTGGGGATGCAGGTTAGATGGGTTCTTTCGGCGGATGGAGCCACGGGACACATCTGTGATGCTTTGAATCTAGAGGCAAATATCAGTGGTTTTATTATTCATTATAAGTATCATTCATTTTTTTATTTATTTAGGTTATTATTTAGAAGTAGCTTTACTATTAAAACCATTTATTAGGCCTTTGTCTCAAGTAAAACCAAACTGGAACAAAAGAAATGGAAAGAAAGGTTAAAGAAGGTGTTCTAATTTCTTAAGAAAACAAATATGGGTTGTGAATTAGCTTGGACAGTTGTGTAAAGTGCACTAGCAAGATGTTCTCTCTTTTTTTCTTAAGGAGTATTCAATAATACACTACTTAGGCACAAAGTGAATGGTTTTGATATGAGCCACCTTTTTAATGGAATACAATACCAGTCAAAAGTCTGGACACAGTTTTACACAACCTTCTATAACCCAAGAACAGCGCAACCAGTTTGCATTAAAGTCCTGTAAAGTTACTGAATAAAAGTACATAATTGTATTGTAATTAGTATATAATAATCCTGGGATTTTAAGGGGTTAAGACCTTGTTATGCAAATTACTGAGCATGAATTAATCATCTAAATTCACACCTCACTAGTGTAGAATTGGCAACATTTAATTTCTATAGATTCAAGGTAGCATCAGGGGACTTCTGGAGTTTGCTGCATCAGACCGATGCTTATATTTGACCGATGTTTTAAAGCAATATCTGATGATGTACTCGCTGTACTCAAAAAAAGAACAATGTTCAGGCGATGCTGGACTACTGCGCAAAAATATCTGTGTATTAGTTACTTTACTGCACTTCTAACCCAGTACAAATAAATGTTATAGTTCTCTATAACGCAAATTCAGGTAGATGTAGTACCAAATTCTACCTTACATGAATGTTTATGTATTGATATTGGTGTCGGTTTTTCATGTACATGAAAAAATCAAATACTGTCACATTGTCAATATCATATATTGTCATATTGCACACAGTTCCCAAATTGCTGCACCTTTAAAACAGATTTTTTTATGTTGTTGAAATTCAGGCTGCACGTGGACATCAACTTCACTATTTCAATTTGTCTTAGAATTATTTGATCATAAGCCTTTAAGGTTTTTAATATTATGAAAAACATACATTCAGTTATGTGTGGCTACATTTTGACTTGTACTGTATGTGTAATGCAATTACTTAAAAAAAAAGAAAAAAATCGTGCACAGGCTTTGTGAGTGAAAAGCTTGGTCATGTCATACCTCTCTCTCCCGCTCGTTCTTGGTCAGGTGCATCTCTTTGAGAATCTGAGATCTTTGCTCCATCACCAGTGTTTTCTCATAGGTGTAGGCTGAGATATCACTGTCATGCTTTGGGTAGATATAAAAATATACACATTAGCATGTCTCTATGGCATTCTATGGCAGTGTGTTTGCGTGTGTGTGTTTTGTGTATGTAGATGTGTGTCTCACCATTTCCACCACCTCCACTTCAGCATCCAGGCGCAGGTGGTAGAGGAAGGTCAACAGGTCCTTCTTCATTTGAATGCTGTTATCATCCATCTGAGCCACAGTGAAGATGCGCATCTTACACTTCCTCCACACCTACGAACACACAAATATAAACATCTGAAAAAGCCTTCCTTGAAATTCTGTAAACTTTACAACAGGCACAACATGCACCACCCAGAAGGACCCCAAGGACACCATACACACAGTGAAGTATAGAGGTGGGAGCATCATGATATGGGGCTGATCCTCCGTAAACAGTGCTGAATTACCTGTCATTGAAGAACAAGACCCCAAACATACAAGACTGTTATCTAAAAACTCTCCTGACTTAAGTTCTATTATAAATGTATGGAGGATGTTTAATTCGCAGTTCCATCAGTGGGATCCTTGTAAACTTTGGGACCTGCAGGAAGTTTGCCACAAGGAATGGGCGAAAATTCCTCTAAAAAGCTATTTACTTCTCACCACAGATGTCTGAAATCGGCAACAATGATTTTGCAACAAAGGAATGTCATTAGTTTGTGGTGTCGGCACACTTTTTTGCCCTATTAATTTAATCTTTTAAACACATCTTTGTGTATGTTCATGAATACAGACTTTTTTGCTCATGTTTATAAGTACAATATCAAAAGGCATTACCCGTGTAAATTTGAAGTGGATATATGCCCTGGAACTATAATAAATAATAAAAAACAAAAGTGTATGAGTACTTGTTTTACCTCACTGCTTCTGTTAAAATATAAAGCCAAACTATGCTGTTTCACACATGATTGAACAGTTTTGTGCCTCATTTGTCTTACTCAATAGCTGAAATAGGTTTATGTAAGAAAAAGACATGAGAAAGATATAAGACTAAGATTCTTTTTTCTTTTACAGGCCTCATCCACATCTCAGAAATCCTTTAGCTGTCTATCACTGCAGAAAGGGACCTCATGCTTTTCTGATTTGTCTCCAGAAAATTCTTCATCACAATTAAATGCATGTGCAAATTTCCTTTTTTCTCCTAAGGGGGAGAAATAATTCAGAAATTGGTAATCCTTCATTTATACAATATTGCAATATGTTTTATTTCCTCGTGAGATTAAGAAAAGTTGATCTTAAAAAAGACATTTTTATTTCGAGAAGTCTGTGTGTGTGTACCTTGTGCTGGCGCAGCAGGAAGGGCAGGAGCATCAGCATGCCTCCATCATGCACAATCCACCAGACATCGATGTGGCCCTCAGTGAAGCGCTCGCCATTTGAAGGATATGCAGAGATGTTCTTGGGCACTATCAGAGCCAAGTGAGCTGCTGTGGTCTCCCTGACAACCTCTGAAAGAGAGAAAAACCCAAACACACATATGCACACATTTTAATGCTGGTGACAAGGTCAAAATACAAGACTTAAATTATTTTAAGGCAGTCAGTTTTTTTATGGCGACTGAAGAGTTGGGGATCATATATTAATTGACAAGAAACTGTACACTAACTTGTTACTGAACAGAACCAAAAACATCAAACTTGCAGAAACATGAAATTAAAGTCTGCTCCTCTACCAGGGGTAGGCAGATATGAAAATTAGCATTGGCCACTACATCAATGAATCTTATGGACAAAATTAAGCATTTGTAGGCAGAATGGTTTAGACCAGGGGTGTCAAACTCAACCATTAAAAGGGCCATATTGAAAAATCTCTGCAAACCGGTGGGCCAACTATGTTTTTATTTCATTTTTACTTAACATTTTGCCATGATTTTATTTATCATTTATTTTATATTATATTTATATTTATTATTTTTTTTATTTATTCATGCTTAAAATCTGCCAAAACTGCAAAAGCAAAACAGGCATTAAATACTTATTCAAAAATAATTCTAAATAAAAATAAATTGTTTTAGGTTTTTAAAACTTCCTATTTGCTTGAACTAGACACCAGGCATCTTTTCTTTTTATGCAACCACTGGCCCAGAGATTGCTTTTGGGGGCCAGAACGCACATGTCGCAGTGCATGCTGGGGACTGTAGCGCATCTCAGGGTGAAATGGGCTAATAATAATAGAGAATTAAAATCAATTCACGGGCCGAATAGGACTGTGTCACGGGTCTGACTTCACCCATGGGCCTTGTGTTTGACACATGGGGTTTAGACTGTGCAGACTGCAAGCACCAAAAGTAGCTGTGAATGAGATTTCACTCAATTATAATGTCAACCGCAGTGTCCCACCGATAAAGTTCCTCAGGCGCTGGTTGTCCGCCGCCTGTTTCCAGTTTTTGGGAAAGCTGACAAGCACAGCATTGTGGCGTAAGCCTCCGAGTCCCCCAGCCTGGATCAAGTGAGACGTGGCATCACGCAGGTTAGAGGAGATAACCACCTGAGAGAAACCCTTCACCCGCTCTGTCTCCATCAGCTTCCTCAGGGACTGAGAAAGAGAGAGAGATAGAAAGAGATACATAACGTATATTAGTTTTACAGTAGTTACTAAATAATTCATAGCTACTGAATATAGGCTTAGAATTTAAGAGGTTAATAATGATTCATGAGTTCTTCTCAGCTACAGCCAACATTTTATCCACCTCTTACTTATGCGTGTGTGTGTGAGTGTGTGTAAGTATGCTGACCTGATCTGCTTTCTGTGCCTGTGGGTGGTTGTTGAGATAGGTGCCCTCTACACAAGCGCCCACGATGGTCAAGCCTTTGCCCGCCTTCAGCTGATTGGTCAATGACAGCAACCGTGGCTGCTCCACGTTCTGCTCTCCATCCAAACCCACGAGCACCAAGATCTGAGGCCTGCGGGTGAAAGGGATTTATTAGATTGTCTTTAACACTGGCTTCCTAACACAATGCTTGATAACATTTGATACTTGATAAGAATGCACCCCTATTAGGACTGCAATGATACTCAGTCAATTAATCAATCAACCTTTACTTCGACTCTGAAGTACATTGAAGCTGACCCTCATTCACAATATAGCTGAGCAAGTTAAACAAAATTTTAAACTGAAATTTGATCAACTAAAACAAATCAAGACTAACAAGAATAAATGAACAAAGCAAATTTATAAGGCAGAGCTTTAAAGTTTCCTGTGATGTATACCAGTTTGCTGGCACACTGTATTTAAAAGTAGATTCTCCCAGTTCAGTAAAAACCATAAAAACCTGACAGGCGATCCAGTCACTACAGTAAATCTGATAAATGCCCTTATTCACAAAGAGAATAGCTGTGATTTAAGGTGTTATACCATTGTATCACAATTCTGTTAGTGCTCCAGTGATGGACTATTTAATGTCAATGGGTAGGGAGTGTAAGTGTTATATACACTACTGCTCAAAAGTCTGGAATTCTAATGCAGATTGCTAATAATGTGCAAAGAAGCTGCTAAACACTCGAGAAATTTTAGATCTGTCCAGAATGCTGAACAGAGCTGTAGAAAAATGCCCAAAAAAGCAATATAACATCAAGAATATATAGTATATACAGTATAAAATTAAAGAGGAATTCCAGTGATTTCTTCATAGCTAAAGTGAAAAAAATAAAGTCACTCTGAGTGGTTTAATGTGCAACACTCAGAACTGTTTACAGTAGTGGTGATAGGAACCAGACGTCTGAAGAGTTCAAAGCTCTCTCACAGAAAGATATTACATGAAATGCTTATGGATATGTCTGATGTCTAAGACATTGGCTTTATCTCAAACCATATAATACTAAACTCCATACACTATACTAATGAATACACCGCTACTTTTGACATACTGTTTAGTACAGTAGAATGGGGTTTAAGATGCAGACATTGTTTTATGATACTTTTAATATAAGGTTTTGACCTAAATATATTTTTAAAATCCATTAATGGTGGAGAGGTACATTTAAGGAGTTGTAAGGCAAAATGGTTTTTAAAATGTAATACTATTTTACCACCATGCTGTCGTAACAAAACCTTGTATCTCCAAAACGATAACTTTACAGGAGATAGAAAAAACATTACTTTTAATGTACGTAAATGGAACCAGACCTATTTTCAAGTACTTTTGGGCCATTTCTTTTGGTCCATTCATTATGAAATGAACACACATTGTAAAGAGCAAAAGGCATTTTCAAATTATGTCAAAAACTGAAAAACATTGGGAATGACTTTGTTTACATCTCAAAGACTAAAATGTGGTCTAGATACTCTGAAGAACTTTTACTATAAAAACATAAGATTTTATTAACGAGTTAACAATTAAATTCTTATAAACTCATAAATTATTATAAATTAATAACTACTATATTCTATTTAAAAATCTAACTGAAAAGTATTTTTTTAAATATAATATGTAATTCTCGTTGTCCCAAAATATTTCAAATAGAAAAATAACTAAAAATACCAAAAAATCTATCATTTACATCTACATTGTATAAGTTAGGTTCCGTGAAGTGATTACAAATGTTTGAGCGGTACTGTGTCTTGCATGTGTTGTGCTAACCTCCAGTTCTTTGTGTGTGGGGGTCCTTCCTCCAGCCTCATCAGAGCATAACGGGCAGCGCTGAGAGAAATCCCACGTATCCCATCACCCCACTCTTTCTCAGCCCTAAGACAGAAAAAAAACTTGCAGTGTGTACTCCAGAGAGCCAACAGGACCTCATTATTAGTTTTTACAGCAATTACAGTGATCTCATCTGCTCCTCATTTCTCTGTCTCTTCCATTTCAAATATCTAAGTGATATCCCACACTGAGCAATGCGGAGCCATTTCACACCACAGTAAATTACACTAAATGGCAGAGCGCAGTGCATTGATCCAGCCTCATCCAGTAGCTCTTTAAATAGAGCCTACAACAAAACTGCCAACCCAGGCCGGCAAAAGAAGTCTGTGTGTCTAATAATAGCACTTCGCAAAGGAAGAGAATGATCTTGTTTGTGTGGAGTTTCTTCTTCGCTTCGTGTCTGCTTGCTGTCCACTGTGTTCCCAGGAGAGCAGCCTGGGTGTGCTTACCCGCAGAACTCGATGTATTTGTAGATGCAGCCAGCTATGCCCATAGCCACAATAGCGTAATACCAGGAGCAGATGAACATCAGGGAGAGACACAAGCTCATGCCCAGGAAAGATAGAGCCCTGTATAAAGGAAAAAAACACAGCCTATATTAAAATGAATAGTGGTTAACTTCTACTTGAAGCTAAACAAATAATAATGGGATATAACAGTATATTAAAAAGAACACACAGTAAGAGAAAAAACCTGTAAACTAGTTAAAAGGTTAAGATGTAAACAAAATCATTCAGAGTGGTTTGATGTGAAAAAATGAGCACAGTAGTGGAGATAAGTAATAGGAACCAGAAGTCTGAAGTGTTTAAAGTTGTTAAACAAAATGCTTATGAGTTAAGAGATATAAGATAAGCTTTTGGCATGGGAGAAAACAGTATTTATTTATTTATTTTTTATAAAAATATGTTTGTTACACAGACATTCACAGCACATGAGATGCATACAGGGCGTTTAAGACAAAAATATCCCTAAAGAAAATGTATTTGCCACAATTACCACTAATTTTTCCAGCAACATTACATATAACACACAAAAATGTATCTGTAGATTTACTGGTTGTTTTGGATAGTAAATAATATGGCTATATTTGTGTTGTAGACATCATGATCCCTAGTTATTATCACCACATTGTAAAGAAATCAGCTGCAAGTTTCTCTACAAAGCACCACTTCACATTACACCACTCTGAATGTTTTGTTTTACATCTCAACCATTGAACCACACAGAAATTTTTAATGGATTTTTTTGTCCCAGTAGATGGCGATGTAACTTTCAACCAATGAGTCCAAAGATCCCTTTTTTGAAGGCCCTGCTCACAAGTAGATGAATTTCTGTCCAGTTCCTGTATGGCTTACCAATGGTGATGTATCATTATGTGAATGCAAAATAAGCAAAAGAAAGAAAGGAAAACAAAAACACTGTCTTTTGTCATATAGTTTAAAGAAAATTGGTTGCCTTGACTTGTTCTAACAATACACTCTTAAAAAGGATGGTTCTTCAAGGGTTCTCTAGTAAAGAAAATGGTGCTATATAGAACCATGAACACTCAAATAATCTTTTGCATCATTAAAGGGTTTTCTGCATCATGAAATGGTTCTTCAGATTGATGGAGAATGTGCTATAGTTGTTTCCAAGTGGAACCTTTACAAAAAGCGTTCTATATAACACCCAAAGGGGTGCTTCTATTTCTACAACATCAAGCTTGTAACAACAGAAGAACCTTTTGGATGCTATGTAGAACCCTTTTCAAAAAGGTTCTGTATAGAACCATCTGTAGCACATCCATGCACATTTTCCATCAATCTGAAAAACACTTTCATGATGCATAGAACACTTTAATCATGCAAAAGGATCTTTGAGTGTTCACGGTTCTATATAGAACCATTTTCATTACTAAAGAACCTCTGAAGAACAAACATGTTTAGGACTTTAAGGAGGAAAACTGTTTAAAGCTCAACAAAGTCAGCAAGTAATTTCATGAATGCAGCTCAACCACTAAGTCACAGGCTTATTATTATTATTATTATTATACTATATTATATGATCATATTATATCACAGATGACACCCATGAAAACAATTAAGGATACTCTAGTGCTCATAGCAGCAAATTAAGCTTTACAATTTTACAAAAAGGTAAAGGACAAAAATAAGTCCTCCTCCCTGACCCGGTTTAAATGTTTGCCGCTGTTACTTTTCACATGGTTACCTGAATAAGTGGACTAAGAGTTGCTGGCACAGGCCCATATCAGCCAGACACTGATACCAGTCGACACTGACATGCCATCTAATAACAATATTTTAAGACCATTCAACTTACCAAAATGACGGATGTGAAAGGAACACCTCCAGTGTGTGCTGAAAACTTGTATAACTGCACAGTGTACACTAGAGACCATTCTAACACTGCAGGCCAGAGACTCTGGAGGGCCACAGCAGAGCATATTAGCATTTTCACAGAATTAACACGTCTGATTCAACTCATCAGCTCAACTAAGCCCCAGGAGCTGAAGTGGCTCTCCTAGAGCAGGAAAACACTTGACTCTGCAGTGCTTTGTTTCTCTGGGATCTAACTTTGACTCCTTTGCTGCTGGTGTTAATTTAACGTTTGTGATTTTGTGGCCTCCAGACGCTGCAGTCTCAGAGATATCAACCTCTGTGGTTAACACCTCTGTCAAATTACATACAGCCTACATTCACTCTCACTAGCTGTATACGAAAAAAAGCTAAAAACTATTCAGGCCTTAAGCTGAGAAAAAGCTTGCTTAAAAATTGACAGCAGCTGAAACTGAAACTGAGACTAGGGACAAATATTTTTGTCTTTCTTATTCAGGTGGCATTTGCACTTTCTGCCCCAAACATTATCTCTGCAGCATCCAAATTGTCACAGTCTGTTACAGGAGCCCCAACACCCACCTGACATTTTCAAAAAGCATTAGAGTAAAACTCAAATAATCAGGGTTTGCAGTGTCATAGGAGTGTGTTCATATCTCAAGACTGTTTGCTCGATGAATCAAAATACAACCCCAATTCCAAAAAGGTTGAGACACTGTGTAAAATGTAAATAAATGTCAATAAAAACAAACAAAGTTCTTAATGTGTTGATGTTTTTTAATGAAATGGTAAAATGTCTCACTTTCAACATCTGATATGTGTTCTGTGTTCTATTGTGAATAAAATATTGGTCTATGAGTTTTGCAAATCATTGCATTTAGTTTTTATTTACATTTATTTACTTTTTACACAGCGTCCCAACTTTTTTGGAATTGGGGTTGTACATTTTGGGTTTAAGCTGAGTAGATTAATCCCTTCAACCGAAAGAGACAACATAACTTGCATATTGCCTAACTTGGAAACTTTACAGGAGAAGGAAAAATAAATTCTTCACTTCAATGTTCGTTAATATAACAAATTTTTAAAAAGCCGCTATGATGTTTTGATAGGACAGTGACAAAGTTGGATTCATAGTTAGTTGGGTCAGTGACATATCATGCATTTTGTCCATTGCGTTACATAACATCACATTATTCTTCAATATCTCGTATCAAAATTAATTTCATGTTAGTCATTTATGCCCTGCGAAGTCTAAAAATGTCAGGTGGTGTGACCATCCAGAGGTAATATTTACAGATGTAAATGTATTTTACCTACATAATTTTTAAAATAAAGTCAATATTTCATGTTTTAAAACTTTACAATAACAGCATCTTGAACAATAGGGCAACTAAAAACTTTTGTCCATAAATTCAGAAGTTCTCAAAATGTTGTGTGACACAACCGACAAGATTTTTATTCTCACGTTTAAAAAAAAAAAGCGGCCAGGGCACTGCAGCATAAAAAGACCCTAAGTGACCTTTGTGGTGCAAGATCAGTAGCTCTTTCATAAATATTGAAAAAAAAATTTAATCATAGTTAGGCTGGTTCAGGTTACCATGTCAGCTGGTATGACCCTATGAAAAAGATTAAAATTTATATTTATATTACAAAAGGTACGAGACAAAAAGTGATATTGCACATCCTTGTAAATAAGTACTTTTTAAATAATCACTTTGAAAGCTTATTTATTTGTCACTGACCCAGTAAGCAAATAATGTATAGTAACTACTGGTTTAGTAAATAACTGAATAATAAGCCTGTAGTTTAAGGGGTTAACTATCTTAAAAGGCACATGAAACATAAGACTTGTGTGTGAGGCTGCACTAACCAATGGTAGAATTTGAAGCGTGGCCTCCAGTTCGGGGTCCTGAGGAGAGTCTGCAGAGCGCAGGCCAGATTCACAAACATGTAGCACATCAAGAAGAACCTGTGGCAGAAAAAGCACATGGCTCTATTAAATCTAGGGAGAAAATTAAACATGATTCCTCTGTGAAGCGCAAGGATACGTGCTCCTTCTTTGTGTTAGGTAGATGATTCCTAATCTAATAAAGGTTTAATCCAATACTTTCCAATGCATAATTTACAACACTTATCTTTATCAAAGGGAAAAGTGCATGAGGCTTACGTTAAGTTCAGCACTAACAAGCTATGATGGTTAATGAATTATATATCAAAGTAAGTGGCATTACGTACATGGAGAGAATGGGCGCTACAGCGTCCAGAGAGGCGATGATGATGCCAATCTCACAGATGCTGGCTGTCAGGAGCAGAGCCCATGTGGGCTCACCGTTAGCCTTCCCATGACCAAACACCTGCCAAAAACACACACAATGGGATCATGCCCATCAAAAGTTTGGAGACACCTTTCCTTCTTTTGAAATTTTCAGAGCAATGTTTAATGTTGCTATTACTTTTTAATTCAGGAAGAAAATAATCCGCAAAAAGAATATTATAAGCGACACTTAGCTTCATTTTAGTCAAAGGGTCTTCCTTCATATGACAATTAGATTTCTCTTAAATAATGATTTGACAGTTTTCACTTCCAAACTATTGTTAAAAAACATCAAATGTGGTTGAAAAACCTGAAGGCTGGCTTTACAGTTGGGCATGTGTAACAACGAGCTACATTATTTTTCTGCTATCTATACAGATGTAGCAGCGGGAGTGACAGGACTTTACTGGTCAGGGGCTGAAAAATGACAAACAAGATGCTGACAGACAAATGAGACATCAAGATACAGGTAGTTACAGGTGGCATTGATCATATAAGTCATCATTACGGTCTCTTGTCTAATTAAAGTGTGAGCAAGTAAGCCAAAATACTGAAAGCTTTCTGTGGCTTGTCGCTGCTAGAGTTCACAGGAGTTACTACTGACACTATTTACATGAGTGATACTGTTTTCCTCAAAATGAATCTGCTTAGTCTTTAAATTGTTTAATTTTTGTAATTGTAAATTTAGACCCCTCAGCAGCCTGGCTGCTCTGTATTTCACTGTAATCACCACAGGCAACTGTAGTTTACAGAGGTGAAGTCAGACAGCATGATAATAACAGTAACCTTTGAAACAAATTATATTTTAGATGGTTAAATATTTAAATTTGAAAAAGTTTTTATTTTGCAACAAAACCATATCCATTTTTAAGTAAATGCCCCAGTGAGGTCCAAATGTACAGTTTTCAAAACAGATATTGCTACTTACGGAGATATCATCACTGATATGGAAGTATGTTCAAGAATCTTTTAACATCTTTATTTAGTGACTGATTTTGATAGTTATTTTAGCTTTTTTACTGAACACATAGCATAAGTTCATGTTTCACTGCAATTATGCAAACATAAATCTTGTTCAGTACTGATGACATGGTGAGCTATTACAGTGTTTGATAGCAATTTGCACTGATTAATAGGGACAGTTCATAGCCTATGTGATTTAGCTTTACCTATTAGCTATCCTGTTATCTCTCTACTTTCTACATTCCAGTAGAACCAGAGGATGCGACAAGCAACTGTGGATGCGTGACTGAGGATGCTCAGCTTCCACAAGAGCGTGTGGAAAGAGTGTTTTCAGCAGAGCCAATAAAATTAACTTATATAAGACTACTTCCTTTTGTTATCTCTCACTTACAATTTTTTATCTCTTACTGCAACCCTTCAAAGAAATGGAGAGTATCGCCAAAATGATAGTTGGGTAGAATTATCAGGCTACATGTGCAGCCTTAAGCTACATGGCTATGACATGGTGAACCGTTATAGTCTATAGTAGGCCATCGTACTAACATTACATGGTTAGCTGTAGTCAGTTTGGTTTTTTATTATGTAATTTATCATTACAAATACAATGACTAGTATATTTTAAAGCCCAATTTTCCTTTCAGTCCCGGGCTGACAGCTGTGTGTTGATTTCTATCCCTTGGTTTTGTTTTCATATTAAAAAGATTGGATCAGCTTGTAATTGTCATTGTTAAAACAGTTTGTTTAAAGCAGTTATCAATAAGTCTCTAACCTCTAACTTTGAAAACTGTCTGGAAAGAGCGTCATAGAACTCTGTTGGGGGTCCAAAGGCATATGTTACAGCAAAGAAAACAAGCTTTTTTGTGTTAAAACATTTTGAAAAGCTAGGGGTACCCAAACCATTCATACCTGTTCTACACCAAAGGCAGTAAAAGGTATTAACGGTCTCACATTGTGGAAACTTAATTAAACTGGCTACAGCATCACTGGGGTCAAACTTTTTAAAGATGAGTTTGATGTAATGCATTAGCATTGTTAAAGTTTCAAAATGTACCATTCACTCCCCAGTCTATACAGTCCACTTACGGAAACTAAGCTTAAAAAAATAGCTTGTTTTGAATTTACTGCTGCTGTGATGTATCAAAAACCAACACATTTACACATATCTCCCTATTCAGGCAACAGCAGTTTAGACTTCTTCATTCTCACTGAAGGTATAAGGAGTGTTTCAGCCTGGACTGGTTTTTCGAATGAGGCTCAACACAAGGCAGCCAATCAGAACTACAACATTTACGTAAATCAGTCTTAAAGGCGCAGAAATGAAGATAGCCTGTTTAATATTAAGAGATAAAGTGAGGTTAGAAATTTAATTAATACTGTAAGTAAATCAGGGAAAATGTAAGACATGGTCCTTTAATGTTTCAGGCACTTCGCATTTGGCATTTTCGTCCCACATGCACAAACTCACCCTGAGGAAGGGGATGATCCCGTCCCGAGCAATGGCCTGTAAGAGGCGAGGTGCTCCAGTCAAGCTCTGAAGCCCCGCCCCACAGGTGGAGAAGAAGGAACCAAACACAATAACCCAGGGGGAGGGCCATGCTAAGGTACCAATGACCAGGTTACCATTCACGCCTTCACCAAACCTGTTTACCACAGAAAGATCAAATATTTTGATGGGATCTGCATGTGGAACTGCTGCACTTGACAAAATCCTGCCGAAACTTTATTTATATATCCCTGTGTGTTGTTGAATCTTAAAAGTGAATTTAAAATCAATCCATCTGAAAGTGAAATGAAAGTGGACTGACTCACTTGTCTCTCAAGACCACTCCCTCAACACAGGCCCCAAACAGAACCACACAGGACATGTCTGAGAGTCAGAGCTCAGGAAGAGGAAAACACAGTGAATGGTACTACTACAATTATTAAAGCAATACTTCACATAAAGTTTACAGGTTTCCCCTTACATCAAATGTAGCGATTCAGCCAAGACATGTCTGATATCTTACAGGGCCCACACCACTGAAAACCAACTTTTCCTCTATTTTTATAAAAAGTCCATATGTAGACCATTCTGTTAATTCAAACTGCAGTCCTACAATAAAAAACTACTTAAAAAAAACAATTACATATTCAGACCACAGACACATACACAAGAATTATGCTATGATCTAATTAAATCTAAGGCATTAACTGAGATTGTAATAGCTAAATATATACAAAATCCTAATTTATAGCGTGCTTTTTATTGGGAGATGGATGTCACAAACCCCTAAATTTCAACCTGTGAAAATAATATTTTATTTTGTATTTTTTTTCAATGTTTTTGGATGTTTTGACTTTTTTAATTAAAATTGAACAAATTAGGTTCATCATGGGTTTAATTTTTAAATGAAAAAAATGTATTCAAAAAAAATGCTGTGTTTCCTGTCACTCTCGAAACACAGAGTTTTAGTCAGTAGGCGGCGCCTTATTTTATCCACACCTCTGCATTTTAGAGCAGGAAGTGAGACTGCATCCCTGTACCTGATGGCCACATGATGAGCAGTTAGATTCCATTGTTTTGAAGTAAATGTGTGACATCAAAAACTTTCATTACCAAAACACGTTTTATGTGATTTAGTAAACTCTTTTGTGTTTTTATAAAAACATTGTGAATTTATGCGTGTGCAGCTGTTAAAAGCTGCTCAAAATTAGCTGTGTTCTGTCTGGTGTAAAACGCGACATAGGGCAGCCAATCAGAGCTCACTTACATATGTCAGTCTTAAAGGCACAGTAACAAAAAAGGTCTGTTTAATTGGAGGGGACGATGGTCATGTAAAATGAATTAGGACTGTTTCGGCACATAAAACCTCACAGATGTCATAAGTGGCCATAAGCGACCTCTGGGAAACAATAAAAACCATGAAAGAATGTAGAGTAGGGGCCCCATGTGAAGACCTTTGCTTTGCACTGGAGCTACACTGTAAATGCAAACTTTTGCATAACTTTTTACATTTCCTCAACTTAATTTAGCCAGAGGATATTTAAAAAAAGAAAAAAAAGAGAAAACTTTGTACTGCATCCTAGAAATTCCAATAAAACAATTTAATTTGAGCTTAATAAATAAATAAATAAATAAATAAGGAATGAAAGTAAGGAAGAAAGAAAGAAAGAAAGACAGAGAAAAATAAAATAAAATAAAAAACAATAAATGTGATGGATAAACTTTTACTAAGTGGTTAATATATACTTATATATATGACTTTTACAAACATACATTGTATTAGTTCTTATGTGATTTAATTTATGAAAAGCACTTACAGTGCTTTTATTATGTGTATGTAATTAAGTAAATGGTTAATAATTCAAATGGGAGCATTTATTAATGCATAAGTAACAATTATATAATTAGTAACTATCATTAACAAACTTTTAGATAATGAATATGTTGCTGTTTATTGGGGCTTGTATCATAAAGTGGTATGATAAAGTATCTAATGTAATGACTCATTTGACTTCAAAGTTCTAGGTATATCAAATCCACATAATTAAATGTGCTGATGCTCGGTGTCTGCTAGTTTACGTAAGCGGGTGTAAACGTGAGTGGAGATGTAGTGAGGTGCAGTAGTGAAGGATACATATTGTGGAGGTGGTGGAGATGGCCAGGATGGTGCCGATTGGGATGGACTTCTGTGCGTCCTGCAGGTCACCAGACCGGTTTGAGCCAGCCATGATACCTGTGAGACACACACACACACACAGAGAGATACAGAAACTGTTAACTTTAGAAAGGATTACATATTTTTTTTGAAAGGCAGGGATGAAATGTTGCTTTTTCGGCAGGCAGTCAAAAGCTATTATTTATTTTTTTGCCAAATCTGATCAAATAATATTTCAACAGATTATCATATGCTAATAGCTTGTCTAGACAAAACCTCATCTGCTGTTTATCCCCTTAAAGTCTAGGCATATTATTCAATTACTAGTCTTAAAATCTTAAAGCTACACTATTTAAGTTTTGGGGATTTGGAGTATCCTTGTTTGTGTCTGTATCTGCCTTTGTTTATCTTCCCTCGTGTGTCTTGTTCCATGTGCTTTTGTTTTTATACGCCATGTGCTTTTGTTGTTGTTTTGGTCTGTGTCTCCTCCCTGATCCTGCACCCTGGTCATCTGTGCCACCTGTCTGTAGTCTGTAGCCCCACCCTCTCATAACTCCCAGGTGTTTCTTGTTTCCTCTCAGTGTATTTATACCTCTGTGTTTGCTCAGTCCCTTTGTCTTACATTGTTGATGTGACCCACTTGTTTGTTGTTCCCTGTTTCTACTGCTCTTCAGTCTTGTTTCAGGTTTTGAGTTATTTAGTTTGTCTTCCTTTGTGTTTAATTTTGTTGTGCTCTATTTCCTTTCCCTCTTTCAGCATGGACTAATCTGCTTTACATGCCTCTGCTACTTTGTTTCTGGTGTCTGTAAAATTCAATTAAAAAAAAATTGCACTTTCATCCAGCCTTATCGCCTCAAACGTTGCACCAGGAAGTAAACCAAAATTGTTGTGAATGTGACAGAGATCAGGATGAAAAACTCTGGAGTGACCAGTAACTTTTTTGAATTACTCTGAATTGTTTAGTAACTACTAGGAAAATACTCTGTAAGGCCTGTAGTTATGTGAAGAATTGTCCTTAGACCTTAAGGGGTTAAACTCACTTCATGCTCTCAGGGAGCACTGTGCCTCTTTTCAGTGAGTCAGAATAAGCAGCTCAGCTCACATATAAAAGGTGACTCTTTCAGCTCCTGAAAGGCTCTTCATTCAGTAGCACTGTCAATTTTAGTTGACAATATTATCTATAATTTATAATTTACTTAACCTTACTAAACCTTTTAATAAAAAAAAATTGCATCATGTTTAGAAAATAATAAGTTAGATGTTGATAAGTAGCTTCACTGGATAAATTTCGAGCGGCAGGACTCGCAAGACAACCACACTCTTAAAAAAGATGGTTCGTCAAGGGTTCTTCAGAAAAGACAATTATCACTCAAAGAACCATTTGCATACTTAAAGCGTTCTTTAATTGGTGACATCGTTCTTCAGATTGAAGGAGAATGTGTTGTACATGGTTCTATATAGAACCGTTTTGAAAAGGGTTCTATGTAGCACCAAAAGGGGTTGTGCTATTGTTATGTCAAGCTTGTAACAATAGAAGAACCCTTCTCAGAAAGTTTCTAGAACCATATACAACACATTCCCCTTGCTTAGTTGGGCTTGGGACCCAGATTTTCTGTAAAGCCATTTTGTGACAACTACTATTGTAAAAAGCTCTGTATAAATACATTTTGACTTAAACATGTCCTAAATATTCTAAATGTGTTCTCTGTGTGTGTGTGTGTGTGTGTGTGTGTGTGTGTGCATGCATGTCAGCCTGACCCAGGTCAGTAAACTCAGTGTAATCTTGTAGAATTGTGCTGATGCAGTGCTGACTGGATCACAGCTCACTGTACCTCAACATTTCACTGCTGTCATCACTTCTACCCAAGTTTAGTTTAACATTAGAGCACACACACGCACACACTATTGAATCAAGCAATTAAACATCATTCAACTCAAGGTGGCAGAGTTCCTGAGTAGGGGTTGTGATGGTACAATGCAAATAGTCTTTTAATTCAGAGCTGTAAAAATAAAATCATTACGCTGAAAACAAAGCCATTCTGTGTGGTTTGATGAGAAATGCTCCATCAGACTCAAAATTCTTCACAGAGGTGGTGATAGGACCCAGATGTCTGATGTGTTTAACGCCTCTTATTCACAGAAAGTTATCATATGACTACACTGGTCTCACATATGCTGCCTCATGCCTGAGACATTGTTTGAGAAGGTTTTGGCATAAAAGGCTTTTTTTATAATCTGTTTCTGGTGGAGAGGTACATGCAGGGTGTTACAAGACAAAATAGTCCCCAAAGAAAACCTGTTTATTCAGATTTATCGCTATTTTGCCATTATTAGCATTACACACACACAAACTCAGAAGACACGTGTAGGTTCACTGGTGGTCTTGGATAGCAAATAAAATGGCCATATTTGTGTGGCCTGTCTAACAGTAATGCCTCTTAACTCTTCTCTTATTGTACATGCATAACCTCAAGGTTAAGTTATGTGGCTTAATCTTGCTTTTTGAAATACTTCCAAAAGTTCAGTGGAAACCCAGCTGGTCACTGGTAATTAATGTAAACTTCTTCTTACTGGCTTTGGAAGGTACTAACCTGTGACAGAAGGGAAGTAGATGCCCACCAGTAGGGTGAAGAAGCTGGTGATGTCAGCTAGTACGTAGCGGTTAGTGTTGGTTGCTGGAATGTCGGGGTCAACCACAGCTGGTATTCCTCTCTTTTCCAATATTTCATTCTTCTCCATGAAGAAGCTAAAGAGATTCTCTATTAAAGAGAAGAATGAGGGAAAACTGTCAGTACAATGTCAATTTTTGATCTATACATGATGTACTTTCGACACACATAACTATGACATAAATAACTACGACATACTGTAATGCTAGCAATCCATTACGCACGTGCACATATTTTTCATTTGGCATTTTGATATATTTATTCATTGCTTTGAAATATTTCTCAACATGCCATAGAATTATATTGCTTGATAAGTAGCATTCACATTAGAGCAACAGCCTGGATAAAAAATACAATTAATACAATTTTCCCCTGAAAACTCTACAGACAATTCAGAGAAAAACAGTACTAAAAATGGAACGACCCACTTTAAATGGCTTCCACTACTGTTTTTAGCTATGCAACCCACTTTTGTGCATTTTTGAAGATAATAGTATCCAGTGCTTTGCCAGCAGGCGTGTCCCCACTAATCTGCAAAGGGCCGGTGTGGCTGTGGGTTTTCATTCCATCAAAGCAGTGGCTGCTGATCAGTTGTTGAGGACTGAGACCAACTGATTAATCAAGTGGAATCAGGTGTGCTATTGCCTGTTCGGAATGAAAACCTGCAGTCACACTTGCCCTTTGCAGATAAGACTGAATAGCCCTGCCAAACTGCATTCGAAAGCACAGTCTGTTTGAGATTACTTAACAACTCAACACGGTTTAAAACTGTGTGATGATTTAGACATGCAGTTTGCACAGTGCTAATTGCTGGGGTATAAGCTTCCATTACTTGTTAGCTAGTCTCATAACTCCAGTACACAAAACTAAAGAAACCAAACATCTTTTGAATGATCTACTGCATGTCCATCACTCAAGAGATGCACGAGGGGAAATGTTTCTAAATTATATTCTTTTAATAAACTATTAACACCACTAGGATCTGGAGTTTGTACGCATCCATGTGAATAATCCCGCTATGGAATGATAATAACACTAATCAACAATATAATCAACACTATTAATTGTGTCTAACAAATCACTCATTATACACTCAGAAACACTGGCTTTATTAAAATCAATAAAATCTTCCTGCAGAGTAGTCCTGACTCCACAGTGGCCATAGCAATGTGTATCAGCACATGGAACTGGAGCTTTCTGTATGCTACTGTGTTTCCTATCACTGCACTAAAGAAGCTTTATTGTTGGATGCACTGTAATAGTTTCTGACTGAGTGTGCTCACACATTCAGAATGGAATTCACATTACTAAGAGCTTAATACTGACTTGTTTGAATAGAGTAACAATAAAAGATGAATGAAGTTTAAAGTATATTCCTATTTATATGTTTGCTTTCTCAAAATGGTAATTTGTAAAAAAAAAATCTATACCTTTTCAGCTTTGTTAGATGTACAGGAGTGTGTTCTGTACAAAATATATACAATAACAGAATTGAGAAATCACATGATTAATGAGGAAGAGTATACTAAAATAGACATTTCTTGCTTCTGCCTTCAGGCGTCAAAGAAGTGCAGATGAAATGTACGTAGTGTGATGATAAGAACAGTTCTCTGACCTGCCAGGATGCCACTGGTCACTCCGGGGATGCCCTGGACCTGAGTGATGTTGTTATTGGTGAAGTATTCGTCACAGGTGGCGTTGAGGAATTCTGAGTCGCAAAAGAGTCTCCAGAGCTTAGTGGTGACTGTGCTGTTGCCTCGCTCTATGGTCTTTGCGCAGATATCTAAGCCCTTGGACATTAGGGTTCGGTTTCCCAGCATACAGATCCTACACAGGAGAAGGAGATTATTCAGTGTGCTAAGCTGAATGTGTGAGTTGTTAAGAATACCCTGCTTAAGCATTCCATGCAACAAAGATTATAAGCACGAAGTGAAAAGTGTAACAATTAATACTAGACAGCAATTTTACTTTTGTGATAAAATGATATCTCAACTGCGTTACTAATACATATTACAGTGCCAGTCAAACATTTAGACATACACACACATAAAGAGTTTTTCCTTTATGAAGTTTCCTATCAAAAGTATGAAAAAGCATAAAAAAGAGAATTAACTACAGCTTCCATTCTTTTTGGGAGACTTGCTTTAAGTTTTTCAAAGAAACCTGCAGGGATATTTTTCCACACTTCCAAATTTCAGTCTAATCCCATTTTACTCCTTGCCCCTACAGCTGAGCCCTTACCCCTCTGTTTTGCACGTTCACGCCTATAGGGAAGGTGTCCTGATTTTGGTTGAGATAGAGGGGTAGCGTGAAGTGTTAGGGCTACACAAACCTCCAAATGGAGTGTTATGAGAGAAAAAGAAAAACAGGCAAGATGGTGACTCCTTTGGGGACAGGTTTTGTTGGAAGGTCACAGCTGCAACCGGTCGGTTTTCATATTTGAAGGACAGAGGAGTTAAAGTGGCAGTAGAGGGCACAAAATGGCTTAGTGGGAAAAGTAAAGACTGGTTAAATTAAATTCTGATAGATTTGACGACACATTCAGTGTTGAAGGCCTTTGTGTGATTTTCTGTGTTTTTTGTGTGTTTCCCGCTTTTTTTGTGACAATTAAGAACAAATAACTTGTACTTAATAGCAGTTTTAAAATGAAATGAAACAAAAGGGTGGTGTCTGTGCTTTTGCATGCTGTTGTAATGTCTATTGTACTGTGTATTTTTAAAATGTACACTTTCAAAAAAAGATGGTGCTTCAAGGGTTCTTTAGTAAAGAAAATGGTTCTATATAGAACCATGAACAGTCAAAAAACCCTCTGTACGATTAAAGAGTTCTTTGCATCATAAAAGGGTTCTTCAGATTGATGAAAAATGTTAATCAATGTGCTATAGATGGTTCTATTTGGAACATTTTTGAAAAGAGTTCTATATAGTAACAAAAAGGGTTCTTCTCTTGTTACAAGCTTGACACCAGAACAACAGAAGAAACTCTTTGGGTGCTATATCGAACCATCTTCAAAAAAGATTCTATATAGAACCATGTATAGCACAGCCTCCATCAATCTGAAGAACGCTTTCATGATGCAAAGAACCCTTTAATCGTGCATAAGGGTTCTTTGAGTGTTCATGGTTCTATATAGAATCTTTTTCTTTACTAAAGAACCCTTAAAGCACCATCTTATTTAAAAGTAAATAGTTTACATTTGTAGTTTGTTTAATTACGATTTTGTTTTGGAAATAAATTGATATGTGGAGAACAACTATACTAGTTTTCATTGAACTAGACCAACTTAAAGTCTTTAGATCAAAATCTTTAAAATATTGAATATTATGAAAAGTATGCATGCAATCAGGTGTTTCCCAATTTCTGAGTTGTACTGCGTGCAATGAACTTTTATGACAATATATAAGACTACAGCAATTGAAACAAAGAGACATTGCAAAAATGTTTTCTTGCAAAAATGGCACAGTCTCTTTAAAAGCTGTGAAAGTTTAATTGCACTCTTGCTGGTGTAATTACTCCATAGTTAGATAATCCAAACTCATATGAGCTTCATTCCCTAGTGTTAGCAGTATAAAATATACTCATCAAGTAATATGAAATCTATGGCTTATTGAGAACAAGTCTCAGGATAATAAACAAACACGCAGACTGAAAACTTTTGGGGGAACAAAGCGGCTTTTTTTTCACCCATCAAAAGGTAAAGCTGTTAGGAAGTATAATGAAACAGCTTACGGAAAGTCCGGTGGGTCGAAAGCGGACTTGATAACCCCAGCATACACAGCCAAGATGGAGAGGATGACACAGGCGAGGAAGACCAGAGCCAGCTTGTTGACATACTTGACGCCAACAAAGACGACCAGAGCCATGAAAGAGAGCACAATGGTGCCGTACACACGCATGTTGTTGAGCATTCCTGCTTCAGCCTCTGGTCCCTCCAGACCCTCAATCTGAAATATAGCAGCCTGCGGCACTATATAGACCTACATTGGGAAAAAGAGAACAAAAAAGTTCATAAAAAACAAAAAATGTTTATGATTATATTATTCACGTGTTTTATCTGTAACTATTAGTGCTCTGGTGTTTAACTAAATCTCCAAATTCCACTATTGAACTGAAAATGCATAACTAGAAATTTTTTGATATTAGTAATGTTAGTGCTGACATGATGTATTATCCTCTCTGCAAGTAACATGTTCTTCCTTCATTTTCTGCCCTGTACTTTTGAATAATTCAAACAAATTTCTTCACCATAATAGCATTCAGCCAGTAATAATGCATGCCTTCTCAGAAGTTGTCACCAGCATAGCCATGGAAACGGGTGTAGCTCACAGATCCAGTAGTTTACTTTACTTGGATTTGATGAATTTTCATCTGTGCAGCCAGAGTAAACTAACCCTATTTAGCCATTTCCCCCACAATCTGGATTTTTCAAAGTAGAGGGACATGGCCCTCTGTTCCAAACAGAAACTTTACAATAATTTGATTAAAAGTGTCATTGTTAAACTGAGACAGCACACATTTAGGTAAACAGCACCAGAGCTTGTGTTCAGAACTAGCATAATCTCATGGTCCTGTCAAAGTCCATGTCAAGGTTCTTTGCCATCATAAGATAAAACCTACTGTCATTCAGAAAGTCAGCTTGTCTGAAGGCAGTTTGTTATTACCAGTAAGATCTCAATGCAGCCCAGGATGTACATAGCTCCAGCAAAGGTGGTGCCCAGGTAGAAACAGATCCCCACTGCCCCGCCAAACTCCGGTCCCAGTGAACGTGAGATCATATAGTAGGACCCACCAGCTGAAACAGAAGAACAGTTTAAATATCCAGCATATAATTATGATTACATATTGATGCTGCAATACGAAAACCTTGTAAAGGCTAATTTTATATGAGAAGAAAAGTTTTTTATTCAAGGGCCCATTAGCAGGCCCAAAGTTTTATTACACAATACTAGAACTTGAGAATAGCTCAAGTCCCTGTAGTTATGGAATAACAAGCCTTAGTATGTACTAACCTGGTATTTTAAGGGGTTAAATATTTTCCACTTACTCCAGATGTAGTGGATAAGCCAAAACATGTTTAGTGTTCAAATTTTGCCTATTTAGTTTGGTGCTATAGCTATGAGAAGAAGAAGTCAAAATAATGACCCAAAGAAGTCAAAATAATGACCCAAATCTTTAACAAAAACAGATTCCCAAAACATGCTCAAACTGCTTCCAGCTCTTCATTAAGGTGACTCAGACTTGTCAATGTGGTTTATGACACAGTATGAAGAAGGACAGAAGCATTCAGCCACGTAATGAAGTGTTGTTCATTAATACAGTTCACACTAAGGTACCTTGTGTCCTAAACCACATGAACACTTTGTGAGTTTGATGAAGACCTGGATATGGTCTGAGCAGGCTTTGGACATTGACAGAAAATATCTGGGTGTCTATTAACTTCGTGTTTGCAATGTCAGCCTCATAGCTCTAGCGCTAAACTAAGGAAGCAAACTTGGGGCACAAAATAAGTCTTGGCTGATAAATTACATATGGGGTGAATAGAAAATTGTGTAAACTTGATTTCACAACCAACAATTTCTTTAATATAATGTAACTGTTAACACAGAAAATAAAAAATAAAAACCAACAAAAATGTTGTTGAAATTAGAATAAGTTACAAGGATTTCTTATGACAGCAACAGTATATGTACTGGCACATATATACACACTACACTGTACAATATATATACACACAATGCAATAAGCTCTGCACATGTCTACATTAAATTTAGGGGTTACAAAATACATTTTATCAAGTGTAAAATAACTACTTTTATATTCAGAAATTCATTTAAGGGGTACGAGTTTTGTTTATTTTCTCTCCAACTCTCACCTGCCCACACACAAAAACAGAATTATGTACTGCTAGAGGACTGAAGCTGAGCTCAGCTCAGTAGGGAACTGTACTGTGTACCGTGGCTAACTGCCCATAAAGAACAAGAGGACAGCCATCCTCTGGGCCTACACAAACACGAACACACACGCAGACAGGGGCCATTGCATTTTGCTTACCTGGCACAACTCCATTTGTGGCAATTGCACTCATTGAAATGGCAGTCAGCATAGTCTGAAAGAAAAGTCACAGACATAGACTTAAATACAGTGAAGGGAATATACTGATAGAGGTATAGATCTATACACAGATCTGTAGACCTACACATATACAACGTACAGATGATTTTAAATGTGGCACTGTCAGAGGATGTCACCTTTAACACAGTCAATCTATTAGACAATGATCAGATGGTTCTAAAGTTTAATATATCAATACAACAAATACAATATAACAGTGTTGTGGTTCACCAATTGACAACAAAGTGCTATTTGGCAAGTCTACACCTTTTAATGAAGTGTAATACCACAGGAAAACTTGATAAGTCTTCCCCCAAGTGTATCTGAAACAGCAGACTAATAAAAGTTTACTTGAACCATTATTTTCCCTCATATTTGAATATATGTCATAAACATAAATATATATACACATACATACATTTATATTTATTATTTATGCACACACACAGTGGAAAGAAATTGCAGACAGTCAAGTTTCAGTCTGGTCAAAAACGGACATGATTGTTATGCATGAGGTTGAGATTTAAAAAGAGTTAGCAAAAGAAAAAGAGGAGGTAAGAAAAATATGTGTGTGTGTGTGTGTGTGTGTGTGTTGGTCTAGGTCTGTCAGTATCAGGAGTGCATTCTAATGGATTTGAGGTGGCTCAATCTGAAAGGACAGCTTTGGGCTTTTTGATATCAAACAGAATTAAAACAGATGTGACAAGCAGGAAACAAGAAGTGAAAAAATGAACTCAGAGTGGCACAGTCTCGCACACACACACACACACACTTGTTTTTTATAGAATGACAGGAATTGGGGTCATATAAGTGGGTTGCATGACCTGGGCATAAAATAAACTTGTTGGACATTACAATACAATAAGAGGAATGATAAATGTTGTTGTTATTATACTATTATTATTATTATTATTATTACGTGCTGTCAAGTTCTTACCACCTCCTCATAACCATATGGACAGTGTTCCTCCATAATACCCTGTCTTCTTTTTGTGTCTTTAGATTTCTGAATGACAGGTTCGTGATTCCTCTGATTGTATCCAGCCATTTTGTAGCTGGTCATCTTCTTCCTCTTTTACCTTCAACACTTCCAAGCACAATGGTCTGTTCCAATGAATCGGTTCTTCTCAGAATGTGTCCAAAGTAAGATTATCTGGCCTTTGAGTGAGAGGTGTGGCTTGATTTGTTTGTTTTCTCTGCCGTCCAAGGAACTCCAAGTTCAAAGATTTTTCCTGTCTCACTTGTTTATTGTCTACAGCAACACAAAATTTTACAAAACTCACTACTGTGTAAAGTTCAAAATACAATATTAAAATACTAATAGCTACTCACATAATAACTGCAGTGGAAGGCTGTTAGAAAAACACATCATTGCTGGCACAAGCCGTTAGTCGTCTAACAAAATAATTATATGCTCTTATGTGCCTAAATAAAAAATATGTATTTATTTGATTTTGTGACCTTTATAGAAAAAGCTGTTGAGGTAATTCTGACTGTTTCTCAGCCTTTTAATGCACAAATTATGGGCTTGCAGTTCTGATGTAAGAAGCTGTTAGTATTTATTTTTATTTTGCACAATAGTGAATGGTGTTTTTGTAATTTTGTATTTTGCTATTTGTTTAAAGGAGAGGTTAGTTATATTTCTGTTTATATAACAAAAAAGTCTTTTGTCACATCCAGTCAGAGGCACACCATTTTAATAATAATTTATTGTATCTCACATTGTCATCGTGATATCCAACAGCTTTATTGAACATTACAGTTTATGTCCATTTCATACAGCCCTAACCTACAGTGTAATATGTGTCATATGTATTATATATGCAAGCGTCTACATGTAATAAGACTTTTCTAAGCCTAACCCTAAACCTAACCATGACCTTAAAGCAGCACTATGTAACACTTGGGGGTTTGGAGACCTCTGTGGTGGAAATGTGTAATTGCATGTAACAACAGGAACATTTAGTTTCATCAGTTGTGCTTTAAACCCCCACAAGAAGATGAATCTGAAGAGATATCAGTCAAACCTTGGTGCAGGATGTTTCTTCTGAGGATGTGAGTGAATTATATACTACTGTCATCATATCTTATCTTATCAGTATAATGTTGATTTTGCATTTGAGACCTAAGCCTTGAGCTGGACCTGACTTTTGAGGCTGTGCGTGTGACATTAGTACATGTAGACATATAATGTGGTTTGAAAAACTTCTGCAAAATCCATCCAGATGCTTTTGAGTTTTAAAATGATTATTTCAGGCTTTACAGGTCGACTCATAGCACTGCATGCACATCATGTTTTAACATGTTTTTTCTCCTGACTCAGTAATGCTACTTCTTTCGGTTTCTCAGGATCCAAAAAGAAATGTTTTGTCCTTTCAGTTTTAAATGAAACATGGAGCTTTTGTAAAAAGCACTTTACACAGCCAGGACCATCTTGTTATTCCAGTAAGTTAGCCCTAATACTTATTGTATTAATATTATTCATATTTATTGCATTATTAGTGTTCTTTGAGCAAATAATTGCTTACTGTCCAGATGAATTTTAATTCTAACTTTCTCAGGTGTGTTATTTTCATGAGTGCATGTAAACACAGGCACATACCAAACAACATTAGTAATAGAGCAATATTAATAGTACAACCCAGAGTAAGAGCTGAGCTGTGGGTGTTGTTCATTGTGCTAAAGTAGTAGTGCTATTAGCAATGTGGAACACCAAACAAACAGTGTGATTACGTAATTGTATGCAGTTCAGGGGGAAGGGAGACGGGGATTAAAAGGGAAGAGAAGGCCGCAGGGTTAGAGAGAGAGAAAGAGCAGCAGGGGTGAAAAGTCTAGTCTCTCTGGGCCATGCTACAGAAGAGTAATAAAGCAGTGTTGTTTCGCAGGCAGAGGAGACCTTTTTGTTGGTCTAGACATTCACAAAGGCCAAACAGGCCTGAAGGAGCGGGTATTTATGGAGTGTGCGTGCATGTGTCTCAGTGTGCAAGTATGTGTCTCAGAAATGGACTGGAGGAGAATAAAAATGGTGTGAGAGTAAATGTGTGTGTGAAAGAGACAGAGGCCATAGTAAATTGAGTGCACGCAAGTTTTGTCATAATCAATTTCGTCTTTGTCGTATCTATGAAATCAGATGCTGTGTTTGTGATGGTTCACTTGTTAACTAATTCACTATTTACTACATAGTGTTTGCTATATGGATCGCTCTACCAACTGGTTCAAAGTCGAGTTGAAAATGCATTTCAAACTTTTAACTGAGTTGGAATTTAGACTAAAATGCTTTTGCTTTGAAAGACCATACACCTTAATTATGTTTATTTTTCATTAAAACACAAAGAGTTTACTTAATTGCAGAAAATATAAGTTTCAATAGTGACAATTCTTAATGTTACACACTGATTTTCAGACACACAACACATTTACTGACTAAAACAATGGGATCTAATTGTTCACTATGTAGCGATGAAGGACATGGACACAGTTTCACTCCCTGCTCTAAAATGCAGATGTGTGGCTAACATATGGCTCCACCTATAGAGCCAAATTAATCTCCATAGTACATAAGTGGAGCTCTGTAGAATTTATTTTTAATTTTCATCTATAACATTTTAACAATTCAAAAACTGAATTGAATGTTTACATAAATTACACTGTATATGTACTGTGTATGTAAATATGTATATGTTAATAGTGCGTATATTAGGTTAAATCGGGGCATGTCATTAAATGACATGTAAATAAGGGGCTTGTGCGTGGATGCTTTTTCCATGCAGCACAAGCTGATTCATTAGCTGTGCACAAATCACCGCTCATGGTGCTCATCAGGGTAAGAGAGAGATAGAGAGTAAGGAAGAAAGAAAGAAAGAGAGACATACTGTTGAGCAGCACATGAAGACAATGAGGAAGGTGCCCATGACCCCACCGACGCCCACAAGCCAGGTCATCCTGAGGAACAGAATCACACCCAGGATGTTCTGCATACACGGCAGGTACACACCCATCACTGTGCCCATACGAGGAGCCTGTCAAATTCACACAATATTCAATAAATGTAGAGCAATGATCAGCATTAAATTCACATTACTGCGAATAATAAGGGTCCATCCTGTCAATCATTCAATGAACTGAAAGATCACTTTGACATGTTACTTTCATTGAATGACTGAATGATCAAAAGTTACAATTAGGGATGCATCGATAACACTTTTTTTTTAATACCAACACCAACACCAATACTAAGTAACCGCCTAGAAATTGAAGAGTTGTGAGTGTAAAAAGTGCAAAGTACCTTAACACTTAAATTTTTAAAATCTGATTGTAAATAATGTGCATTAGCGAGCTATGTTATATAGGATCGAGTAGCCTTGCAGTGGAAAAGAGTGAGTTTTCTTCCACATCCGAAAAGCTCCTCTGCACAGCTGTGAGTGAAGTATATTTCATAGTTTTGATCCCATCTCATCTGTCTCTTTCAACAACAGTCTCTGTAGCACAATGACAGCAGGAATCACATTCAAGGCTAATCTTAGGAACTCACTTGTTGAATGTTACATCTTGTTGGAGTCTTTTTATTCTGGTTGTGTTGTAATTAATTGTCCTCTAAGCCTAGCTAGCCTAGGTATCTTCACCTGTATTGGAGAGATGGTTGTGATTTTGCGTCCCACTGCTGCAAGCAGAGCCTCGTTCACTGGCAGGCTGAGTCGTTTATTCATTAGCACAGTAGCGCACATAGGGCTTACATCACATGGCATCAGGTGGTATTGGATGTTGGTATCTGTGTATTTTTCATGAGTACGAGTATGAGTAAACGTGCACAGTATCAGGCTGATAGCCAATACCAGTATCAGTGTCGATGCATATATAATGTATATAGTATATATAATAAATGGTGCTCTGAATGCACATGAATATTATGTACATGAACACAATTGATGTAATATATTTTATGCTGTGCAACCACTTGACACAATAAATCCAAGAACCATTTTTACTGTACCATTCAAAAGTGCCATTACTGTTCAAAATTCAGGATCAATGGGCCTCATTTACCAACTGTTCTCAAGAACATCTTTAAACTGACTTATGCATTTTTCTGATACTCATCAATGTTTTCTTACTTGGGATTTGTTCTTATGTTAGAACAAAATCTATGCACACTGAAGGTGAATCTGATGCAGACTTTTTCTTAGGACTTTTCTCAAGAATATTTTTAAGAAAAAAATTATATTTTATTGGTGATATTTGTGACTGGGGCCCAGTGTTTTTACTTATATAAAACCAGTTTGTTGAAGACACGTGTACAGTTTAGGGAAGTACATTCCGACAAATTTTGATATTTCAGTATCTGCAGCAGTTAATGAACAGATTTGTGGGAAAGAAAAAACAAACAAACAAACATAGAACTCCATAGACAAACACAGACTCCATAGTCAAACAAAGACTCCATAGACAACACTGGTGTTAATCTGGTGTTAAAAATATCAGTATCACAAAAATTCAGCAGCAAACAGAAGACTTTATTTGAAATAGTGTTGGGGGAAAATATCTAATTACAATTTTTCTGACCAATAGTGAGACAGTAAATTGCAATTATTTTCTATAAATTAGAATCTACAGGTATCTTTTATTTACAAGTACCAGATGTACAAGGAATTACTCCAAAAATTAACCTCCAGTCTTGTTTTTTTTTGGCAGTGAAGACCAGCATTACCCACTTTTTCTGTTCACAAACCCTATGTTGACCCACTTAAAACTAAACATAGCACTGCTGATAAAGTAGGCTACAATCAAAATTGCACCTCAAATTGCAAAATATCACTTTATAGAAGTTAAGTAATGTATCCATTTTCTGTTTTTGTATGCACTAAAGTAACAGTTTGCTGTAGCCTAGAGGGAGTCATTATTCAGCAACCACAGTTCAGCCGAATGATACAGTTAATGTGAGCAGAATGCTTCTTAACTAATTAGATTGTGTGGTCAGAACTAACTGCTGTATAATTTTGCACATAAAATACAAGCACTATTAATAGTGCTGTGTGTGATAAATGGTGATTAGAGTATGAACAAAGGTCTATAATAAGAGGTTGGCTGGGCAGCGAGTGTAATACCATTCCATTACCATTAATTCCAGAACGTCCCAATTTGTGAATTTACCTGTACTGGTTTCTTGCGGGCCTCCTCATTGTTCTCAGCCTCCTCGTGTTCCTTGCTGCCCTGTGGCAGGTTAGAGTAATTGGCCAGACTGCTGAGCAAAGAGGAAACCATGGGACTCGTGTCCATCTCCTCCTACATCACACGCATACGGATATACACATAATCATCAGCTACTGTAAAGAGACACTGGTCTTTATGTAGACAGCTTCAGGAAAGTTTAATTAGGATCTCACAAACATTTGTTTTGACTCTTTAGATGATTCAGCACATCACAAAATCTCAAATTACAAAACAATTCATTCGATTCAGTTGTTTTGGTACAATTCAGAATGTTTTTTAAATGCACAGGTGTGACTGGCTATTTACACAGTAGTAGGACATACACAATAAAAACTACGACACGACACACAACTTTAGTATTTTAACCTTGTACAATAAAATATATATTATGATATATCATAATAGCCAATATACAGGCGTGCTGACAATATTAGCCAATGTTATTGATCCACAGTATTAGAACAGACAAAGCATTCTGGGTTGCTCTGCCCTAAGGGCTACAATATACTGTTTAAGACTGTGAGTTGTTTATTTGAGTTGAAGTGTGATCATTAAGAACTGAGAAATGTAATAGTCAGGAAAGCACTGTTTAACTAAAACTTTTGGCATACAAAGTAAAGCCTAAAATCCAAAAATAACATTACATCAACCAATATTAGTGATCATCCGAATTTCAGTATCAACCCCAAAATTCTTCAGCAGTTGGGCCAAAAAATTTATGCATACTTTACTGCACATTATTATAACTGACTCTAAAATTTTAAAATGTATGCAATTGGACAGCCATCTTAAGAATTTTACATCTCCATTATCTGTTGAACCTACAGGAATATCAACGTCATATTCACCGAATATGAAAACTATGACAGCTACAAAAATCTTCGTAATACCTCAAACAAGGCCATGTTTTTGCCATCATACTGCTGGCTCTTTTCAACATCACTGCTGCTGCTGCTGTTGATAAAAGGGCTGCTCTCTTTGGGGTTTCCATCTCCTGTGAACATAAATACACATATATTTAGAGCACACTGACATTATGCGGTACATTCTCAACGATTCTTGAGCATATTGTGATACTTTAACCATTTCATCATTAACGAATGAAGTTCTTTAGGTTCACCAAATGAAAACTTTCGGAAAAAACAGCACAGCATCAAGCTGATGGTAGACTCTTTGTGTAGAGAAAGCCTGACGAAAAACTCCAACCAGGCTGCACTAAAACTGTTGTAAAGCACTGATGTGGAAGTGTCAAAGTCTGGGCCTGTTTTCCCTACAACAGCATCGGTGAGCATCGAGTTCACTGAGGCATTTTGGATGCAAACCCACAGAAGTCTGCAGCGAGACTGTTCAAATGATAACAATCTCAAATGCACCAGCCTTTTAAAAGAATATTTTGCCAAAAAGAAAATGACAGTCTCAGTATGGTCTGTTTAAAATAGATGCTGCTTGTTTGACTTTTCTAAACACAATGAATTTCAAACATAAATGGATGTCCAAATATTTTTGGAACCATTGCATATGAGGCATTGCTAAGCTCATACAATGAGAAATTACAAATCAAAAATCTGTTAGGAGACTTCAACGTCTATGCCTTCCATTTTTTCTAACAATAATCTGCAAACCCCAACTCTGGCTTTAACTTCCGTTAAAGATACTGCGACTTAAAGAAGCACATGTTATTAAAATTAAGTCATGACTATAATAAAACCCTTTATAAGCAATACCCTGCATACAGTGCAACACTGGTTTACTCAAAACTCATTATCCAGCTCCACGTGGCCTACTTCTGCCAGCATATATGCATATATTATCGTGTGGATCTGCAGTGAAGTTTCTATACGGTTACTCACTGTATTATCACTGAGTTCCTGCATAAACACCCCATTAAAGCTGCTTTACAGTAGTGTGTGTTTGTGCGTGTGAGATGTGGAGATATAGCTCCTAGTACTCTGCACACTGGCCTCAGGGATTTGAGTGAGTTTGGAGAGTTAGCTTTGGCTTCTGTTTATTTTTTATATGCTGGATTATAGCTAGCGCAGCAGAGAGGGAGAGAGTGAGATTAAATGAATGCTGAAAAATGTATCTGCAGCACATCAACAAAGAAGTCTCTCTTAAGAGACTAGCATCAGTATGTGTGTGGATTTGTTATGTGCATTAGCAGCAGCCTCCTCCATAGCAACAACCTGATTCTGAGTCTATTTTTTAACAGCCCACACTTTAAATGGCACTTAAGTAAGTGAAGGGATTCATTTCACCACACATTATCTCATTACAAACAACTGGCCTCAGTTCCGTCAGACTGACACTGCGCTACATGAAACACAAATCCATAAATCCTTTGAAGGTCAAGAGTAGTGGGGACAAAGGTGATGATGTCAATAATGGCCAAAACTAGTAAATGGGATCCTACTGAATCTCAGCAAATACCTAAATAAGTCCTGAACTACACTCTTAAAAATAAAGCTTGCTAAGTGGTTTTTGGCTTGGATGCATGATTTTAGTAAAGAATTGTGTAAAACCTCCATATTATGTGGAGGTTCTCTGGAGCACCCATATCTTAAATTTGTCTTGTATGTTATGTATTTTTAGGTCCATTTATAACATTCGTGTGGTCTTATGTACAAAAACAGTCATAGTTAATTTTTTCATCCCTATTACCCAACTTCTCTTTATCCCTTAGAATAAACCAAGCTCTTATAAAGCCTTTAATACTGATATATGTAAATGACCTTGTTCTGATAGGTTGCCCTGTATTGGGCCTCGTTCAAAAAGTCTAAATCATTCCTTATAGTTTTGCTGTAAATGGGCGGTGCTAAACTGCTGTAGACTAAAAAAGTGTAACATTTAAAAAGCTGCTTATGCAGCATAGTTTTCATATTTTGACTGTATTGACTGGGGAGTAAAAGGTACCTTTTGTATAGTTTTTATTTCAGTATTTTGCTAAAAAAGGAAGAGGCCTTCATTAAGGAGAGTCACAATACAAGCTCTAAACACCTTCAGTTGATTAGTCAAATGAGTTTGTATGAGTCTTTAACTTATTTTCACTTTCAACAAAATGCCCAAACTTTGGTATACAACTATATGTATGTTTGCTTGAATGTGTTAGAAGGGTCAACCATACTGAATCCAAGACAAATGTCTCATGAGAAACAATAAAGTATATTTAACTAAGTTTAATCTGTAGAATTTGCTCAACTATTGCTGGTATTTCAGGTGCGCTGATAAAATTAGTGTAAAGTGTGCAAAGTGAAGGAATTTAATGTGGTGTAATATGTTTTATTATATGTATTATACATTATATATTATGTAGTATTGTGTGTGCATGTTCTGTGATTGTATTTAGTACATTCTGTTCTGCCTATTTTTGTTTATCCCTACATGATCATGTCTGTCACACCTGTCTCTTGTCATGTATAGCCTGGGCCTAATGCTGGCGTCAGTCCAGCTACAGAACTGCATCAGTCCATTGTTTTACGGGCTGGCTAAGTTTCTGGTACCTGCGCGCAAGAAATAAACAACAGTTCTCCAGACATACAGCTAGCTCCCTTGTTTGTGACAGGCTTGGATTCTTCAATTGTCAAAAGGAAGTTAACTGAAAAACACAATTTGTTGATGTCATACATTTTATTCATTCGGATGTACACATTTGACCCAAGTAAATTCAATGTATCATTTTTTTCAGTGTGAAACACCCACAAACATTAAAAAACCCTGCATTTTCTGTTCATTTTTGCACAACAATTTTTACGATAGGCCTTGCCTCAAAGCAGCTTTCTAGAGAGCACCAGACCCTTAATTATCAAGACAAGGGCAACAGTGACAGGAAAAACTCTACACTAGTGTGAGGAACACAGAATTGGATGTACTGTGACTAATGTGGTCTTTGTAGCTCCAGTTACTGCATAAAAGCCACGCGTCTGAAACAGTGTAAGTGGTGTTTTGACTTTTCTGAAACATGCAATCACATTAATGATAATCGTCTCTTCTTGTGCTCTGAAATAATTGTATAGGAGAGGCTGCTCATTAAGTGGCCAGGGGACTACCGTCGTTTCACATGCCTGATTTAATCGAACGCATTCATGTTTAATTAATTACTGGCCAGCTTAAGCTGGAGATATTTTAATTTACAGATTTGTTTGCACTGTGACACAATGACCTTCAGCTACACAGTTTAGCTGAGATTAAATGAACAAGGAGCACTTCTTTAACCTTTTTAAAGTTTTCTGCCCTTTGTCTATCACTGATTGTTCTGTCAGAAAGCAGGAATTAGCCAAATGACCTGCTCGGGTCAGGGTCAGAGCTTAATTTATGCACAGAGGATTGGCAGAAACAAATTTATGCACAAGTGGTACAGTAAACAGGATAAACACACCCTTCGGAGCCATTAAACACAATGTTAGACCTTCAGTGATTTGGGGTCAGCACTTCAAGGCAAAACAAATCAATGCCAAATATACACACACAGAATCCTCCTGTCTGTAATCCATCATCTCAGCCTTCTCCATTCTGAATGTCTCTACCAAAACAAGCAGGGAATCATACTACTTCCAATATTTCCATAACTGATTAACCTCTCAACTACTTTTCTATTAACTACCAATTTGGTTAATTATGACTTTTGCTGTTTCCTCTCACTTTGTCCTGTCACAGGGCTGCTGTCACTCAAAGTTTGGTCACACCTAGTATACAGATACTTTCCGGACAAACTTTCTGGTGATTATTAGCAATTTTATGGTTTAGAAGTAGGTTTTGTGTTGAAGTTAAGGTCAGGGTTAGGTTTAGGGTAAGATTTAAAACAATCTGAAAAACATTTCATAGATATTCAGTTGAAAGCATGTGGATGTGGCTTTGGAACTCACTGTGTGCAGGTCTGAAGTTTCTCTTCAAGGGGGCGCTGTTAGTATGCAAGTAACTTTTGTATGCACCATTCAAAGAGAAGAAACAGCTATGAACCCACACAACAGGTGATCACGATTGCACGTTTGAAAAAAAAAAAAATAAACAGTTATTACCAAAAGATGTTGACTAAGGATTATTATGAAAACGTTAATATTGGTATCGGGTTTGATTCTGATACCGTGCTCATTTACTCAGACTAATAAAAAAATACCAATACCTACATCTGAGACCATCTGATACTATGCGATGTAAACCTTGTGTATGCCACCACGCTAATAAACAAATAACTCTGAGCTGACAGTGAATGAGGGACTACTTGCACAGCGAAGCATTGCTGACATTGTGGTGGTTGGACACAAGGTCATTGGTCACTTTTAACATCCTCCTTTGGCAGATTATCACCAGGCATACACTGGGTGACTTTATGCCAGTTTTAGCCCCAAATTACCTCTTTTGATTAGTCTCGGACATGATTTCTGCTGTTAGGGTGCTACATAAACTGTTCCTGAAAGAGACAGGAACATAGGATCAAAACTATGAAATGTACTTTACTTATAGCTATACAGAAGCACTTTTCTGATGTAGAACGAAACCTGCACTTCTCCTCTGCAATGTTACTTGCTCCAGGGTAACTAATGTAGCATAGCTTGCTAATGCACTAGTAATTCATTTATAATAAAGCTAGATTTTAAAGGTATTAAACTAAGTAGCTTACTCATTATGGTCTCTGTATCGATGTTGGCAAGTACTTAAAAAACTTGTACTTGGTCTGAAAATACAGTACTGATGGATCCCCAATTATTATGTTATTTTTAGATATTGCCCAGGCCCATAGTATTTTACAACAGTACGTGTTGTATAAGTCTATATATGCAGGACAATTCCCATACTTTATAAATATTCCATATGTTACAGTTTATTAACAATTTAAGAACTGTAGTACATGCTGACATAAGTCAGTTATACTCAGTTATCAAGTTATTGCCAAAACATTGCTATAAAAATTGAAAGCCAAAGCTAAAAAATCTCAAAACCCAAACTAACACTATGTGAGATTGTTCACTAACTTAATACTTAGCTACTTTTTAATACTAA